TCTATGCAGTAAGAAAATTTCTCGAGAATCTCGTGATTTGAAATTTGCAGAAAATATGCGAAAATTTACAGTAAACAAGTGCTGAACAAAGGAATTGATCAGACAAAAGATATGCAATCTCTTTAATCAATTATAACTAAGGTATTTCGATCTGGATTGAAAGCCAAGCCAGGCTCAGATCTATCTTGATATCCCAGATCTATCCAGGTCCAACTGTTGCAAGATTGTATCTGGACGCGGGCTTTGGATTGCCTGGCTAGTACAATATTTTGTGTTGATCGAGTGTTTTGCAATTTTTTTCTGAAACATTCGATCAATGGTAGGCTGACAATAGTTTAGTTTAAAAGAGGATCTATAAAAATAGCTATTAACTAATTCTTAGAAAGAATGGCACTCGAAAAAGTTTGAATAGACGGGGAACAGAAAATGCAGAAAATTTGCGTTTAAAGGAAAGAAATTCGATGAATCATTTCGATTTTGTTATTCTTTTCCTCATCAAAGGACGAGGATTTTACATTTCAATGGAGAGATTCTTTTCACAAAATTTTATGCCTTCAAATGCTTTTTTTTTTGAAAAATGAAAACTCTATCGTTTTATATAAATCTAAAAATGCTGTAAAAGTTTTGCAAAAAAAGTGTCTGCTTTTTAAAACAACAATAATCTGATAAAGGTAGGGTTTAAAGTAACTGTAACTGAGGTTTAAGGAACTGGTAGCATAGATTAAACTTTCTAGTTTAATCTATGCACTAAGAATAGGGTAAAGTTTATGTAGTTTTATTCAATTTACGTTTGGTCTAATCTCGGAGTCAATTGAAAGATACAAAGTGATTAGACTCTAGATAAACTAGAGACAGGATTATGATAGCTTTAGAAAAGGGACAAGTCTTTAAAAAAAGCGTTGATCCAAAGAAACTCACCATCTACTGTAATGATATACACTACTGGACAATGAAATATCATATTTGAAAAAAGATCGTCACTTTCGCGCGTCTGTAACTCCCTTGTCTTTGAGTTTAAACTATTAGTGTTATACATTTTCTGAAAGCTCTTTTCAATGGCTACACAATGGTAATATTAATATTTAGAAATACGGTGTTTTGTTTTGTGTTTTGTTTTGTTTGAAGTTTTCGGCTTCTATTCTAAATCAATAAAATTCTAGTATTGCTACGATGCTCATGATTCACAGTGCACCGAAAAAAGTGTGCAAGTATTCAACGAATTCGCTCAGGGAACAACGCTTGATCAGGTGAGAGATAAGAGAATTTTTTTTTGAAGAATTCAGAGGCATTTAAAACTCACTCTGGACTGAAATATTATATTTGAAAAAAGATCGTCACTTTCGCGCGTCTGTAACTCCCTTGTCTTTACCGCATTTCTAAATATTAATATTACCATTGTGTAGCCATTGAAAAGAGCTTTCAGAAAATGTATAACACTAATAGTTTAAACTCAAAGACAAGGGAGTTACAGACGCGCGAAAGTGACGATCGTTTTTCAAATATCATATTTCATTGTCCAATACTGTATATATATGTCGTAGCCACTTACGAAATTCAGCCGCTAACGAATCATTCGTTAACGGTTAGCCCTTTGACGAATGAAAGTTTTCGCTAGTCTTTTACGAATGATCGGCTAGCCGCTAACGAATTTGTTTGTTATAAACGTTAAGAGTAGACGGCTCAGGCTAAGAGGACTCTAAAGCCTGAGCCGTCTACTCTTTGAAGTGTTTCTCATAAATCATGGATTTCATTTTCTTGTGTGCCATGATTTTTCGAGAGTTAGATCAAAATCTATACATGTTAAATGTTATAAATTTTATTTCACTTCTTGTGATTAGTTGATTAGTTTGCGTTTTGCATAAATAGCTTACAAATGATTTGTTAACGGCTAGCGAACATGGCTCGATTCAAAAACTCATTTGAATCGAGCCATGTTCCGCAAAGGCGATTACAAATTGTACAGGGCTAGCGAAAGCTTTATTTGTAATCGGCTAGCCGTTAACAAATGATTCGTTAACGGCTACGACATATATATTATAAGATGTTACAAGTCTGTAAGTAATAAGAGAACTCTAAAGCCTGAGCCGTCTACTCTTTGAAGTGTTTCTCACAAATCATGGCTTTCATTTTTTTTGTGTGCAATGATTTTTCGAGAGTTAGATCGAAATCTCTCCTCACTCACTCATCAGAAAGCACAAATTGATGAAAAGGTGTGAAAAGAGATGAGAAAAAACGCTCACAAACTATCGGCCACTTGAAAGGGTCAAACGGAAAAAAAAGGGAAAGACTTGATCTCGATGATTTTCTGCAGAAAAGATTTGAAGATTCGATTGCTCTATCTTTGGCCTCTTCAACTTTTGGTGGATATCGCAATCATTCTCCACTCATTCCCACAATTCAGATCGAGTTGAATGGCACTATTTATAGTTTTTTGTACTCAAAAAACTCGATTTTGCAGCTTTGTCTCTATTTTGCCTCAAAAAAAACTCTATTTTGTGGCTTTGTGGATTATCTGCTGGACATCTAGAGTACTGTGGAAAGAAGGAAAGGTTACTACGTGGAAAATGAAAGTCTCAACTCTGGTGGAGTGCTTCCAGCATGAGTGCTAATTCCCCTTCCCCTTTTACGATTTTTTCCACTGGCCAAACTCTGCTCCTCTTTCCCAACACCAAAATTTATTTACACAATTGAAAATCAATGAATAATCAATTAATGACAACACTTCCGACAAATTTCACATTGTATCTGGTGGTTAAGCGTTGGATGAAATCATTTTTGACGATGTTCAATGTAAAACGAGTCGCTTTTAGATTCATCACCGTCACCGTCAATTGATGGTGGTACACCGTATAGATTAAAGCTGAAATTTGTGATCAGAGCTAATAGTTGTCGTGTACTTTGTGCTTGAACACGTAAACGTATCTCTTCTGGGAACACGTAAACGCATCTCTTCTCAAGCGATTGGATAATAGAAATGGAAAATTGAGTATACTAGAAAAGAGGTGTTTCTACAAGCACAAAGTCCTACAAGAACTCGAGATTTTTGTGTAAAGGAATTAATGAATTTAATGTGCGAGAAAGGATTTGTTTTGTTTTTGTTTCGAGCACAAAGTACGCTTGAAAGTGTTTTGCGAGTTCTTTCTGTCTGTCTGTCTGTCTGTTCGTCTGTCCGTCTGTCTGTCTGTCTTACTCGTGGCTCCAGGTGCAGTTTGTGTGAGCGCTCCACCCTCAACTTTTCCATACAATGGCCCAGTGCCTGTCGTTTTCCCGTCTGGATTCTCTACCTGAAAATCTTTAGAGAATAAAAGATTTAGATAATCAGTTAAGCAATTATCAGTTAAACTTCGAGATTTTAAGAATTTAAGAATTTAACCTGAATCGGCGTCCAATCGTTGTTGACAACGATGCCCGGGAGAGGAACTTGTGATTCCATCAACGATTCTAGCATCTAAATCTTTGGTTTTGTTTTGTTTTGTTTTTGGTTTGTTTTTGGTTTGTTTTTGCTTTCTTTTTGCTTTCTTTTTGCTTTCTTTTTTAGTTGTTTAGATTCAGTTATAGGATAGATTTTCAGAATCGAATTATCTTCAACAAACCGCAGCTTCGATCTCATTTGTGGCTCGTTGCTTTGCTTGAGTTGTATCGTTTGATTGACCAATGAAAAACCATGGATTTTGTGTTGGAGCCGTGGCTCCACTTGGCTAAAATTATTGAAAAATTCATAGATCAAATTAACAAAAACAGTCGAGTTAGGTTAACTCACCAAAATCGGGAAAAAAGTCCATCCGACTGGCGGGCTGATCTCCATTGTGAAGGCCGGGTTTGTGACCAATTCGAAATCGTTGCCATTTCCTGTAAAAAAAATAGAATCAGCAACATATTCCATTACAGCACACTTTCTAAAAGGCACCGATTTTGAAAACTACGGTGCTCATACATTCGATCAGCTCAATTGTATCATTGACTGACAAGGGAAGGTCAATTGGATATGCTGGCCAAATCATATAAAGCATAGATTATTCGACACAGAATTTCACGCTGATCATGATGCTGCTTTTCTTTTCTTCTACGGATCACTCTGTCAAAAGTTGTACACGTTTAAAATTTTGTAAGGAGTTTCAGAAATCAAACCGCGACCTTACAAGCCTGTCTTCCACAAGCCTATGGCTGTGGCGGTGTGGTAGTGAGTTAGGGCGGGAGGTCTCGGGTTCGAATCCGGTGGCTGATTGTTTTTTTTTGGGGTTTTAATGCCTTGTAATGCCTCATCAAATGATACCAAAAGCGGCTGATTGAATGAAAAACTACAGTAGTTTTCTAAAATAGATGTATTTCAGAAAAGATCTTACTTAAGTGATGATACTCAACGCATCATATACAATATACATGGGCTTTTTTTTGTAGAAAACGAGTCAATTCCACGCTTTAGCAAACAGCTCTTGTTTTCTAAGGCTCGAAATAGCATTGCATGTATAGCTCTAGAAAATCAAGAGCTGTTTTCTAGAACGTGGCACTGGCCCGTTTTCTACAAAAAAAGCCCATGTCTAATCTGTAACTCTAATATTTAACTCTAATATTTAACTCTAATATGTAACTCACCACCCGCACATCCGTGACCCAAGTGACCAAGCGTGAGCAAAACGAGAAGCACGCCAAATGACAAAACAAGATCTTTGATCATCGTTTCTATTAGATTAGAATTAGAAATTTAGCCTTAAGCTTGATATCGATGCTGTGAAGTTGAGAAATGTTTGTGGGAGTTTGTCAGGAAAACGATTTGTTTGGTCTTTCGTTACGTTACGATTACGATTACGACCCAGTGATCTGTTGTGCTGCTCGTTTTCCGCTCATTTACAACCATTATAGAAAAAGCCTCAAAATTTGCATTTCTTTCTGTTTTCTTTTGTACAAAAATCTCGAAATAGAATTGTGTATTTATCTTTGAGTTGAACAATTTGAATAAAGGAAAGGAAACTTTGAAGATTGAGCAAATTGATTGGTTTTTACGAGAGCTCAAATCCACGCACCAAATCGTCGAGATGGACGTTTTTACGTCTAAATTTGATTTAAAATTCTTGCATACAATGACAATTACAGTACACCACAGTTCAGCATTTAGTGTATTTTCCTTTAGTACACACTTACAGTACACTGCTGTACGAGCCGATGTGAATGAAAAGATTTGTGTCGGTGGATCGGCCGACGAACTTTGAAGAGTCAAGGATTTTGTCCTGAACATTGTAACTTGAGGATTTCCGGGTTATTCACTAACCTTTGGTAGCTGAATATTTCCAGGAATTTTGCTCAACTCCGAGACGATTTCGGCGATTCGACAAGTCCTTTAAATGGAATTCTTTTAGTTTATCCGATAAAGTAAAGAGATGAATGGCAAAGAGGAAGCGAAGGGAGTTGAACCCTCGACCTTCTGCTTACCAAGCAGATGCTTTACCACCGAGCTATCAGCGCCTACCGTAAATACTGTAACCTACCCCCATAATGACGGTGCGGAGTGTTGTGTAGACTAGCTTTGAACGAGTTTTTCTCGACACTGATTTATGCTACAATGCGCGCTTAGGTATCAAAAAATAGCTGAAATTCAGGGCTATTTTTTGATACCAAAGATGTATTTTTTGAAAGTACGGGTGCTTTGAAAAAAATGAAATACTAAAAAACTTTTGCGACTACGCGACTGTACGAGGGGGGTGGGGTACTATTACAGTATTTACGGTACTTTACCCAAGAAAAAATAGGAAAGACAAGGAAGAAGACAAGCTCACTGACCTAAACAAAACCGCTTGCGTACAGCAAGATTTCGGGTACGACAAGTAGACACCGCCTGTGAGAAAATATCGAAAATCAGCCGCGAGCTAATCACTATTTTTGAACGTTTCATTGCACTTTACCTGCGCTCCACCGATGATCCAAATCCCTTCATAAAGAATGAAACATGTTAGAATCAAAATGGGAAAAACGATTGATCGCCTTTGTGTAAACTTTGGACCATTAGGTGACCATTGAATGAAAGATGAAAGATAGAGGAGACACCATGAAAAAGAAAGGGAGATAATGAAAATCTGAAATGAAAATGAATCTGAAGCTTGTCAAAGATCATTGTGTAACTAACTAACTTACCAGAAACACTGCCGGATTGCCGCATTTTCTGGGTGGATAATAAAGTTTGACATAATCGATTGAGTCATGAGATTTTAGATGTGAGATCACTGACTAAAGAGATTGAGAGATTGATAGAAAAAGAGATGATTCAACTTGGATAAGTTTTGCAAATTCTAGAGTCGCCACAGCGTCATCTTCAAGCAAAAGAATGAATCTGAATGGAATTTTAAATGGAATTTTAAGCAAAAATTCATTTATTTCCTTTAAAAGTAACAGGAAATTTGAATAGATTTTACTTACGGTGAATGTCGATCACTATTTTGCAAACATTTCCAATAATCTCGTGCCTCTTTTTCCAATCGTTGATCCAAGCTTTCGGTGTCGTATTGAATTTTCTCTAGAACCTATTTTTCATAGTCTTGCTTAAAGAAAAGTATTCTAGATTTTATTCTAGATTTTTACTCTTTACCTGATACATTGAAAATGTTGATATGATCTTGAATCTCTTTGAGAAACTCGTTGTATCGCTGATCAACATTGCAGATTTCAATATATGGCCTGGCTTTGTTCCCATACTCACCGAAAAGATAACCGATGCTCTGAAATAGTTATTGTTTAGGTTTAAGAAGTTGTAGGAATTCAGCAAATATTGGCCTTTTTCAAGAACAGCAAAAAGCTTTTCAACTTTTAAGGCGTAGAAAAAAAAGTAGGTATTTGATGTAAAACTAAACTAAGCTAAGTAAAAGTAAAGTAAATGTAGTGCTAAAAGTGTTGTACTGTCGAAATCGTACTGTAACAGTTTAAAGAGTATCCAAAGTAGGCAAAATGCTAGCGGATATTTTGAGATCAGCTCTATTATACTTGTCTCAAACTAGAACAATTCTTCTTATTACTAGGGTTTTCAATAACTTCGTTAGTACCTGAATCAAATAATTTTGAGGTCTATCAGTGGTGATGATGGTGATCGAAAAGTCAAACTGAATTGGACCTTTTTCGTTTTTGCGGAAAAGTACTCACAAATCGTTTTTCATTTTCACGATATAATTGAAAGAGCTCCCGAGCTTCTCGTACACGTTTCTCTTGCAAACCTTCCAAATTTCCATTGTAGGACGCCGGGAAAAAGAAATCTTCCGATGCTGAAATAGCAATGATTAATGATTCAATTTCTTGTGCTCCCCGTCAATTCAAACTTTTGAGATTGTGCATAAAATTCACCAATAGTCGGCAGAAATGCCTTCAAAATCGATATCAAGAAAAGGGAACTGATGAGCCCGAGAAATAATCGAACTATTTGATTCTTCCATAACATTTTAAAGAATACATGCTAGATGATTCAATAAAAATAGTGTGAATAAGTTGTTCACTAGTAAAAAGCGATGTTTTCTTCGCTCGGTTCCGTTTTGATTTATCAGTGTGTTGAGTCAGAGCCACTCGCCGTAAAGCAAGAAAGAGAAGAAACGATTGATTGAGAAGTGATAAGGAAGACTTGTATGCATTCCACCAATTTTTCCACCAATTTTCCCAATCGACCTTTCTTCAACCATTGCCGTTTCAACACTCGACAATCATAGAATATCCACGATTGATCATGAGTCACAATATTGAAAAGAGGAAACCGACCGCATCGATATTCGTTCAGTAGTTGACGGCATGACCGCGCTCTTTGGCCCTTAATCGAATTTTTCAAATGATAGGGAATTTGCCGCTGTTTCAACCACTTTCTTCCGGTTTTTTTGAGCCAACGCCATACTGTCATTCTTCAGTAATAGCTTTGTGCCAAAATCCGAGTCGTTCCTTCGGGATTTTGCTGAAGTTGGCGCCTCAACGTCTGTCGATTCACTTTTCTGGGACGACCGCTTCCTCGCTTTCGTGTGAGCCGGTTGTCACCTTTTCGGAACTTCTGAAACCACCATCGTGTAGTCCTTTCCTTGACGATTGTTGGCCCATAAAAGAATTGATTTCTCTCGCTGCTTTGGCCGCGGAAATCCTCTTCAAATATCATTGATGGATTATTGATGGATTTCTTTACGAGACAGCGACATGTGATCGATCACAACTTTTTTTGTTTTTGATTCCTAAAAAAGAGAATTTAGCACATAAAACTAGAATTGTAAAGCAGTATAATAAAAAAAAACAGAAAGAGAAAGTGTTAATTTGTCGCTGAATACGAATCAAATGAAAAAAACCGCAATTTTTTATGGGACAACCTAATACCTGAATCAAATAATTTTGAAATTATCATAGAAAATAAAAAAAGCGAACAGTTTACTTGAAAGCGGTTAAAAAAATAAAAAACGCACATGGGGACACTTGTGGGGAGGGTACTATGGGGACACTCGATAGGGACAGTTGGGGGCGGTACTTCAAAAGTATAATAGCTGGAGTGAAAAGTTAAGTTGTGCTTTGAAAGTATATTGATTGTGGGTAATACTGTAAGTATCACAGACTCGTTGCAAGAGTGTCACACCTCACTATCAATAGAACTTTGATTTTGGCTTCAAAACGCGCAATTTTCTTGAAAATCAAACTTTGTGCCACTCGTGTATGATACAGAAGAGTAAAAAAAAATGTTACAACAACTCAAATCTGGAACTTCGCAGCGCTTGTTCTTTTTAAAAATAAAAAAATAAAAAGTTTGCTTTATATAGGTGAATAAGTCAGTGGACAACACAATAAAAGGATTTCCATCGAATGACTGAATATCAATAAGTTTCTAGGGCAATTGGAGGACCGAAAAACAAAAGAATTGTTTTTTAACTCGTCTTAATTCGCTGTTGGTTTTCTTGGATAGTTGCGCTGCGCTAGATCTTTTCATTTTCTCGTTGCTGTTTTATGAAACTCTTTAACCTCCAAAACTATTCTGATTGGATTCTATACTTTTCTCACCAAAGCGCACTCGAGAGTAAGCCGATCCCACTCTAGCTATTCTGTTACCTTTTTGCTCTTTTGCTCGTTCATGGTTTCTTTCGATTGTTTAAACTATCGCGAAAGTTAGTCTTTTTGACAATTCGTTTTCAAACATAGAAAACAACGAAGGACAAGTGAAATCGCAAGGATCGATGAAGGAATCGTCTTCGGGTCAAGGGACTTCGCTGCAACAGGTCGCATCGAATCTTCGCACCATTCAACCGGCGCTCTTCGTTCGGGATCTGAATCAAAGCAAGACCGGTGTCTTTATTTTTGTAAATCACCGACTTGAACTTTGTTGAGCTTATAGTCTTGAACTGGAACATTAGGAAGATTATAGCCTTGTCCTGCAACTTGTTTTAATTTTCTTATGTTAGGCACGCGTGGAGCCATCAGCGACTCATTGGCCAACTATGTGCGCATCGTGACTCATCCATTAAACCAAATGCTGCAATACCACGTAAAGTTTGAGCCGATCGTTGACTCAAAGGCTTGCCGCGAAGAAATGCTGAAGGTGATCGGCATTTTCGACTTTGTGATCTTCGATGGTGCAATGTTGTACGCTCCGAAGGCTTACAAGTTTCAGGTATTGAAGTAGATAGCTAGGTAGATTTATAACGTTTAATTTTAGCCTTCTTACGTGACTCCTCATCCCAACACTGAGGAAAACATCAAGGTTTCGTTCAAGGTGACAATGGAATTTGGACACGACAACCCACAAGCTCTACACGTTTACGACTTGCTGATTCGCAGGCAGTCTTGATATTAATTGGACAATGGGTTAAATAATTTTAGATGCATGAAAGCAACAGGACTCATCTCGGTCGCTCGCCATTTCTTCGACCCAAGACGCAACGTGTCTGTGGATCAATATGGAATCGAGTGCTGGCCTGGATACTTCACGGCAACGCGTTTGCATGATGACGGACTGATGGTTTGCATTGAAAACCGCTGGAAAGTCTTACGCAAGGATACGGTTGCTAGCCAGGTATTGCTTTGATTCATATCACAGTAATGTTCTTAATTTAGATGGTGCAAATTCTACGCAGAACCGGTGGAGTGAACGAGCGTTTTTGGTGAGCCTTTTTTTTGAAACGATTAAAAACTTCCTCAGGTCCGAATGTGAGCGTCTCTTCGCGAATCAAACCATCATCACTCCATACAATCACCGAATGTATCGCCTCACCCGTGTGGAGCCGGAAATGCACCCTTCATCAACATTCACTTTGGGAAGCGGTGAAGAACTGACGTTCGCGGAATACTTTCAGCGACAATACAACTTGCAAGACATCGACATGGAGCAGCCACTTTTGGTAACTGAATCATTTTTGATACTCGTTCTAACATCAAAAGTTTTAGGTCTCTGAAGGCAAACCAAAGCAACCGGGCGAGCCTCCACAGAAGACGTATCTCTTGCCTCAATTCTGTCGACTCACTGGAATCACGGACGATATGCGAAACAACATGAGCATCATGCGCGCGATGTCACAAGTGACCCGTCTCACACCAGAAGCTCGTCTCAAGATGACACAAGGATGGCTTGAGCAAGTGCGAGAGAATCCGGAGCTTCAGCGCCTTTTCCAAGCCTGGGAATTTGAATTGGATGGCGAAATTATTCATTTCCCAGCTCGCGTCTTGCCAGAAGAAAGAGTAGGCTTGTACAATGTTGATATAAATTGTTTCATGTTTTAGCTTTATGGTGCTCGCCCAGATGGTTATGTGGGGCAAAACGCTGAATGGGCTCGATTTGTCAAGCAGAACGGAAACTGTGTTAGCAAAAACCTCAAGGATTGGATTCTGGTGGCACCGAACGTTGGTCCGCACGCATTTGAAGCTGCCAATAAGTTCATTGGTTGGTTGTTTAAAGTTTGCTTTATATTCCTATATTTAGCTGAATGTAGAAACCTTGGAACCCAACTTGGCATGCGAATCAATGGTAACACGCCAACCAGCTAATTGTGTAATATCTTTTTTTAGAGCCTACCTGTGTGTCAGTCAACTCTCCTGATCCAACCGACTACAATCAAGTGGTGAAAGAGGGAGTGCGACGAGCTGCTGAAGAAGGAAGAAAAGTTGAAATGGTGGTCATCATCCTCGTCGATGACAACAAGACGCGCTATGATTCGATGAAGAAGCTCGTTTGCCATGATGTTCCAGGTTTTTATTAAATTTAAGTTGTCAGATAGCTTGTTTAGTGCCGAGCCAATGTATCAAACTGCAGACACTTATTGGTCGCTCTACGGACGGAATCAACCGGCAATTCGGCTCGATTTGCCTGAAGATCCTTCTCCAGATGAACTGCAAGATGGGTGGTGCTGCATGGAGGATCAAAATTCCGGTATCAAACAAGTATTAGATTCTAACTCTTCTTCAGTTGAAAAAGGCGTTGATCATGGGCTATGACCTCTACGCGGATTCCACCACGCGAGGAAAGGCTGCGGGCGCTTGTGTCTCGTCATTCGATCAGGACTTCACTTCCTGGTACAGTCAATGCCGTCACCACGATAATCCGACCGAATTGGGCACGAACTTGGTTCACTTTGTGCGAAGTAAGAACATTTGCAATTTTAAGTTAACTTTTGGATCATTTAGAGGCTCTTCGCATCTACTACGAACGAAATGCTGAGCAATTGCCCGAAAAACTCTTCTTGTACCGTGACGGAGTTGGAGATGGACAAATCCCATACGTTGTTCGGCAAGAAGTTTGTTGCATTATTTACCTGACTTTATTGATCAATCGTTTAGCTTCCTCTGGTGCAAAAGGCTTGTGAAGAAGTGGCGGCAACTGTGGATGCACCTCCAATCAAGATAGCTTTCATACTCGTCACCAAGAAGACCAACACGCGAGTGTTCAAACAGCTCGGAGCGAATGTAGCAAATCCATTGCCTGGAACAATCGTCGACAGCTACATCACTCGTCCCGAAAGGTCAAATAACTTTCTAGTTATAGCGTTAATTGTTCATTCTAGATACGACTTCTACATGGTCCCTCAAGCAGTCAACCAAGGAACTGTCGCTCCTGTACACTACAGCGTTCTTCACGACACAACTGGATTTGATGCAGACAAACACCACGCTTTGGTATTATTTACTGAACTATGCCCACAAATGATTACTAATTTTTAGGCATTCAAGCTCTGCCATCTTTACTACAACTGGCAAGGAACCGTGCGGGTTCCAGCGCCATGTCAATATG